GCGGTGACGACGGCGGTGACCAAGGCGGTGACGACGGTGGCGACGAAGGCGGTGACGACGGCGGCGACCAAGGCGGTGACGACGGCGGTGGTGGTGAGGGGATGTCCTCTTACGGAGGAGCCGGCTCTTCGTATCATCCTCCTCCTAATTTTCAGCAAATTGATGCTATGATAGATTCATTACCGTTCGAAGGCAAGTATGTCGCTCGGGCGGACGGCCAGGCGGTTGAGATTTCGAATTCTGACGCGAATGTTCTGAGGGAGCAGTTGAAAATCCAGTTACGGAACAAACTGTGGACGGAGTGGGTAAGCGAAATGGCGTCACTATCTCCAGCGACTCAATGAAGCTGCCCAGCACACGCGTGTGTCCAGCACACGCGAGTGTCCAGCACACGCGAGTGTCCAGCACACGCGAGTGCCCAGCACACGCGAGTGCCCAGCACACGCGATTATGCCCAGCACACGCGATTACAGAGGCAAACCGGACGGTTAAGGACCTTTGGAAGTTACGTGTTTAGTAGTTCCCTCATCACGCATTTAAGTTAGTTTAGTACGGGTGGCTGAGATAGCGTGGTCTTGTATGGATTTGGTCTTGTATGCGTCGATTTAGTTGACAGTGTTATTTTTAGAGGTAGTTAGCAACAAGCATAAAGAACCTGATAACGAGGAGTGCAAGACAGATGTCGCCTGCGATATCGCCTATGACTTTGTAATGATTCCAGAGTGCAGGAGCGTTGTTGATGAGTTTCTTCATGACCGGGTTAAGCTTGAACGCCTCGGAAAACATTGATAGTGCCATACCATATGAGTTGTCTGTTTGTGGCATCTTCATAACTATAAAAAGGTATTTGATGAATTCACCGAGTGCGAATAGTAGGATGGGATGTATGTATAATCCGCTTTGGTCTAGCCGGAGTACGCGGTCATAATAGACTCCATAATAAGCGCTTCCAAAGACCAAAGAAATGAACCAGGCAGCTTCAACTCGTGCCTTACGAACGCTGAAGATTCTTTCATCATATACCACTTCACTCTCCATCGCATCCGGTACCGGACTCCCCAAGTCACTTCCGCCTACCGCCTCCATACGGAAGCTCGATTGCTTCAACACACGTTCGCGCCGTTTTTTCGCCTGAGTTAACAATTGTTCCTCATCACTCATTTTCCTCGCCAAAACTTGCGGGTTTGGTTTCTCACGCAATAAACTTACACCCCACGAACCCAACGCAACACAACCTATCAACGCAGCACACCCTGTAAACGCACTTCCAACGTCCTATGATTTTATACACAACGCACTTTCTAACAGAGGAACAACTTTCAACCATGAATCTCCCCAACGACCATATGCAAACGGTATACCATGAGGAACGGAAGCGGCTGATGAGATATGGAGGGTCCAAGTCTGCACCTCCTGAGATTCTTCAGCAGGTATGCAATTCCCAACATGAACGTTCACCCAGAATTATTGCCAGCCACTGTTATCACTAGTAAGTGTTATGTTTTCTGCGAGGTTAGTTACGTTGTCGCGAGTTGTTAACAGAGCCGACTGTGAATGATTCTGGTACATGTGAGAGGCTGGCAAGTGTCTTGCAATTAAGGGACGTGTTGGAGCCGCTGTATTTCGTTTGTAAGAAACGTCAAGTGATTTCTCGTGAGGTCGAACGTTCGAAACGGAGGCTTGGTATGGTCCAAGGTCTTGCTAGGAGGTTAGCTCCTTATTGTAAACCTCCGCCGGAATATTCAGATTGGACGGGACTCGATGCCTTTTGTGTCCCAGGTTATATGTTCCCTTGTCCTGATAATGCTATGATTACTCGTTCTCTCTTCTACCAAGGTGGAACACCTGAGGCCATCCTTCGATGTCTACCACCTATCATTGAAGCTGAACTACACCAAAATAGCACGACACACTACAAGCTAAAGGTCACACCCGTTACTAAAGATGCTGCCTGCTTCGTGTCCATCTCATTCGATTCATTCAAACCATACAATCAAGAACAACCACCTACTCTAACAGCACCCGCTGACTTCTCCATACAAGCATACTGCACAGCACCCAACTATCTACCTTCAGAACTCACCGTCAAATTGCTGCGACTCACCACTATTACTACTGACGGCAAAGCGAAAGAAACTGTCACACAAGGCACCTCCGTCTACGCGTACCCCACCACATACCCACCAACTCCGCACCCAGG